ATATATATATATATATATATATATATATATATATATATATATATAACAGTGTCTTTTATATCGATGAGTTATTTTGATGGAATGGCCGATGTACGATATTTAATTTTAACGCTAATATTGGTTGATACAGATACCATGCCGATAACATGGTGCAGCCCCAACAGAAAACTTAAAAAAAAGAGCCACACAATAACAGATTCTCATAAACTTTTTTTATTTTTATATTCTCAAGTTGGTAATTAAAACAAAGTTAATAATTACACTCACTTTCTCCAAAAAGTAGCTTGAGAAAAACAAACAAATATACAAATTAGATCATACATTCCCTCAGACAGGTCTGATTGTTGCACCACAGAGTCAACAGAAATAAAATAAAAACACTGCCGCACAGATTGGTTTATAAAAAGTAAACTTCATCTTAGTTGCTACAGGATTAGGGCAAATCAATGATTTGGATCTACAGTTTTTTTTTAAATACAATTTTTCAGCATGACATGATTTCAAGCTACATAAAATAAATTTGCACCAATTATTTTAGAGTAAAATAAGATATATATGTTTTTTATTCTAAACAGCCAAATTACAGCTGAATGAGTCCAGCTGTCTGACTGTCCTCAGTCATACAATGACAAAAACTTTGTTTTCAACATGTTCCTGTTCCTAGGCATCAAATTAACAACAAAAATATATTTTATAGCTTATTAAAATCTAATGAGGATTCAACATTGTAGAAACAATACAAGTTATGGTCACTGCGACCACAAAGACCATTTAAATGGCGTATCCACCTTTTATCCAGATCATGTTTCTACCCCAAGGCCCTGCCTACACTCAGTTTTCAAAATATATTTTATTTTTGCCCTGAAAAACAAACAAAAAAAAAACCTCTATCCAGTCAAGAAGCAAAAATTACAATTAAAAAAATTACATACGCACGCTGCAAACATAGTGGTGATAACGATGACATCATAGATTGTACTTAATAGACCAACAACCAGAACCAGGAAGTTAAAACGAGACCTGCTTCCCTGTAGCCTATTTGGAGCTTGTAAAAACAAACATCTGAGTGGAACTGTATTTTACTTTAACAAGTGTTGAATCTTGTTGATTCACGTAGCTCTTATCTTGCTGTTTGTTCATAAATTAATTTATCTGACACGTTGGCTTTAATCAGCTATTTCATGCTTGAAAGAAAGGTCATGTGATGCCAGAGATGTGTGCAGGAGAGTAGGCGGGACTTAAAGCCTCACATCGCTTGTGCACAGACTCTGGTTCCAAAAATACATGGCAGCTTCTGTGCACTGGCTCCTGCTGGCTTCAATTCCCAACTACAGGTGAGATTTGGTTGACATTTAGATAAAATAATTAAAAAAAACAAAGGAAGACCATTTCTCACAAAGAGACACCAAAAACTGACAATTTAAAATTGGAAACTAAACATTTTAATTTTGTTTTCCCCAACAAAAGTGATGTGACGATGAGAAGGAAACGAAGCAGGAAAATTTTATTTGGCAACATTTTCCTATTTGTGTGGCTGCGGTCTAAAGTTACACCTGTCAGAGCTCATATGTGGGACAAACAGCAGTTTGGTGAGTGGATCGCTGATCTCAAAGCGTGCTGTCAGAAGTAAAAAATTAAACAAGAGGAACGATAAACACTTTGCTAAGAATCTTCCAGCAGTCTGCCTCTGCACCCAGTTGGGAGTACAGGTGTGACAGACGGGGCTCTGAAAGCCACTTGCAGTCAAACTGGTTCCTAACTAGCACAATCACCTGGTCCTTTTAACAATGCCGCTCTTGTTCTGCAGGCGTGGCATCCACAGTTCTCTACAACAGCAACAACAAGAGAAAAGAAAAAACGTACACGTGTTGTTTCTTTTCAAACTGCATATCCCTCACAACTGAGGCACTTTGGTGTGAGACCCACCACAGTGTTGTGCTTGCTTTTAACCTTTTCCCGCTCATCTCCTCTCTTCCTTCTCTTGCTGATCACAATACGTGACGAAACTCTCCCCCCTTCTTTTCCCATCGGTCTCTCTGCACTCCTCCTTCCTATGCAACTTGAGGCTCCAACATGACCTCCCTCTGCTGCTGTCGAGTCAGCCTACGCCCTGCTGGGGTTGGAGCTCGGCTTGCCTTCGTAGCCGTACAGGAAAGTAGCCGCGATGACCAAAACGGCTCCGAGGAAGAACACGCTGTATGTGGCAACAAACACTACTGTAAGCTCCAGAAATTAGATGACGAGACAAACTCTGGGGAAATAAAAATGGAGAGAAAAGGACTGTTCTTTTTACCTTGTAGGGACGAAGTCCTGCAGCCAGAAGTACGATATAAGTGTTGACAGGATGATGGAGAGCGATGTAGCAAAGCCTTTCAGGATGTTGTCTGCATACTTGATGACCGCTGCTATGACCAGACCACCCAGCGCCTGGAGAAACAACAAACACACGGACACAGATGGACAAAGGCATGACCTGAAGGGGCCACCAGAAAGTCTATATCCACTAAAGCTCAGTCTGTTCCCCCAGAGACATGATGACTTGTTTCAGCTCTGGTGGAAAACATGTTGCATCCCTTGAGTAAACGTTACCTGCAGGGCTACGACAGCCCAGGTGAGTGTGTTGTACCCCTGAAACATCCCTGACTCCTTCACCCTCTCCCCATCGTAGGCCAGCATCCCAAAGAGGCCGAACACCAGGCCGAACATGCCTGGAAACACACGGATGACCCGTTGGAGAGTTCAAACAAGAAACATTCCCAGTTAAATGCAAAGATGACGACAACAACAACGGATATAGTCTCTCGGTTTAGTTTTTTTATGCTTTATTGTGGATTATTTACTTTGTCATTTTTCTGGGTGAAGACACGAGCTGTGACGTTTAACGCAGAGGAAAAAGTTCACAGAAACCGCAGGAGACTGAACACGTGCTTCACACGTCCCAGGATAAAAATAAACCAGACAAGAGCATTCATCTTAACGGAAATATATATTAACACCCAGCTGTGTAACAATATGTGTGTGTGTGTGGGGGGGGGGGGGGGGGGGGACAAACACACCTGGGAGCTTTATTTAGATTTACAGATAGTTCCTACATCACAACGTGCCCAACGACACATGTACTGAAGCTGTGGACGGACACTGACCGAGCTGGATGTTCCGGACCCAGACACTTTGCTTGCTCTCCTTCAGGATCTTCTCAAAGTAAACGCCCGCGAAGCCGCTGGAACAGCACGCTACCAGAACCGCCATGACCCCGACGAACTGGGAGCCTGCAGAGGGGGCCTCCTTCTCAGTGCCTGAGGCAGAATCAGAGGGCCACTATGAGAGCAAGCAGAAGAACAAAATGATTTTAACGTTTACCAAAACATTTATGATGTATATTCATGTGGCCACGTCTCCACCCCCAACAACAGTTTACCTCGTGAGTTTTTGATGCTATGACAAAGTCCGAATCAATTTCAGATTTCACGAAGCATCAATACCACCAAATACACAGAAACAAAAAAAGCGCAACATGTTTAAAGCATTGAAATGGCACGGACCTTATTTAGAGCTGAGGAGGTGTCAGGATGGAGTCGAATATGAGAAAGGTGTGGATTTATGAGAGAAGCAGACTGAGTTCATCTGCACGCTTGCTGCACTTGTAGCAGGGACACTTGTTTTTACACTCACTGAAGGGGCACCAGGTCAGCCATCCACCCTTTAATAATCAGAACTCGGTCACTGAAGTAGCATCTGTTCATTAGAGAGAACCCTTCATCATAATAAATAAATAAATATTCACCCAAACGAGGAGACCGAATTGGTCTTTAAAATTGTATTATAAAAAATAATCAATAATAAAAAATATAAAGCACAAATAAAAAATAAGAATTTAGATGAAACTAGTTTGAAGATGTAGTTGTCGAGTGAATACTTAGACTTGATTAAACAATAAGGATTAATTCATTCTCTTGTCCAAAACAAAAATAGTTCTCGGGACAGAATTTATTTTGTTTTATATGCACAACAACTCAGATAAAGTTTAACTATTCGACAAACAGTTTGGAACTTGGATGAAGAGAGATTTAATGTGACCAGGTTTATTTACTCATTTCTGTTGGACCTTGGAGTCAACGGAGGGTCAGCTGAGGTCAGCAGCTTATCCACGAGGCTGAGGGTGGCAGGGGTGAAACAGGCCTGGCTTCTTTGGCGGACGAGAAGTATTCCCAAGCTTGTGTCAAAGTTGTAAAGTAAGCCTTGCAGTAGGCCTGTCACGATAACAAATTTTGCTGGGCGATTAATCGTCTTAGAAATTATTGCGATAAACGATAATATTGTTTGAAATTTGACAATAATTGGTAATTACTGTCAAATTTAAGAAAAATGTTCAATTTGTTTTGAGTGTAGTACCTTTTTTGACCACCGGATGGCAGTATAAGACAGTTTGAACCGAAGGATGGATAGTGAGGGAGCGAGCAGCATGTCTCTAAAAAAATGGGAGGGAGGCCCCTTGACGTGCATGGGCCATCTCTCCTTCCTTTTTTTTCAGTTCTCTAAATGGCGGCTGCTCTGTGTGGTTAGGCCTGTCACAATAACAAATTTTGCTGGGCGATTAATTGTGCCAGAAATTATTGCGATAAACGATAATATTGTTTGAAATTTAACAATAATTGTCAAATTTTTGAAGAAATGTTGATTTGTTTGGCACGTAGTAGTGTTGTGGTCAAGACCACCTAACCCGAGACCAAGACAAGTCAAGACCAGAGTGTACCGAGACCAAGACAAGACCAAGACTTTTAGGGTCCGAGACCAAGACAAGACCAAGACTTTTAAAGTCCGAGACCAAGACAAGACCAAGACCGAGGGAGGGCGAGACCAATTCGAGACCAAATCCACAAATAAAATAAAAAAATAAATAAAATGTTATTATAAAATATTTTTATAAAGTTATGAGCCTTTTTAATGTGTCAAAACTGATGATTTTACCAGACAGTAATGTTTTTACGTTTTTAAACAGTGTTGTTTGTGAAATGAATTTTGTACTGCAATGTCTTTTGTACACAACTTGTGCATGCTTACTTTAATTTATTTAAACTCTAATTTAAGTGACCCATTTTGATCCTAATAAAACAAAACTCAAGATGCATTTACCTTCTTTTGGTCTCTTGAAGTCAACATGAAATACTGGGCAGTATAAATGCAGTCTTTAGGATTAAATTGGAAACTTGAAGTCAGTTACTTTCTAAAATTGTTTAATTTTCATTTAGACTTGTGTATTTGCTTGGGGATCTTCCATTGTATGATCCAAGGCACATTAAGAAAAAAAACACAGTATCATAAAAACCACCCAAGAAAACTTAGTAGCTTATTCATATTCATAAAGTTTCAGAGAAATAACTGCACTGCAGGCAGCCAGGAATGTGAACAAAAACTACTACAGAAAGAAAACCACGAGGCTAATCAATTTCAACGTTGCAGCTATACAAAGCAACACAAAGTTTGCCCGATGCATAACTACTTCAAAAAAATCCCACTTTGGCTGTGGCTGCATTTTGGAAGGAGTCGACGGGGGAGAGGACAGCCCCCGGAGGGCAAAACGTCAGTCTTTGTGGGCTGTAGAGATGCACTTTCTGCGTAAATAATGAAATTGATGGCTGTGTGACTGTGACATCATTCTGTTGCCCTGCCTTGTATTCCAGGAACCTAAAAAATGCAAAGGAGGAATCAGTATATCTGGTCATGAACATCAATTACATCAAAAGAACACTTAAAAATAAGTAGCAACTTCATAAATGTATGTCAAATATATCCTCCATTGTTTATCATAAGCAAAAATTTAACTTAGAAAAATCTAACAAAGTTAAATTGGGTCCTCTGGATGGGTTTAAACAATAAAAAATTATACAAATGTTTTGTCTTTCATCCAAAAGACTTCTTCAATATGAGGAGCTATATTAAACTCAAGAGCTACATTTTCAGGCCAAGACTCTGCGGTTTACACTCATCTCCAGACCAGCGGTCACTCTTTCAGGGATGAAGATGTTCACATCCTTGATAGAGAGGAACGATGGTTTGAGAGAGGAGTAAAGGAGGCCATCTTTGTGAAAAGAAACCATCCATCTTTAAACAGAGGTGGAGGCCTCCGGGTTCAACTGTCCCCCTCTTACAATGCTGTTATTGCTAGTATCACTCAGCCCCCGGTGAAGGCAAGCAGCCATCAGGGTACTAACAATCCATCATTAGGCTGATGGTCCTCCTTGAACATGTGAGCAGCTAGTTTCATCAACAACAAACGGTTGGTCCACTGTGAGGAGGCACTATTTATAGGGCTGAGCTGAATGCAGCTCCTCAGCCTGAGGAAGTCTTTCGGACGAAAGACGAAATGTTTCTACCTTTTATTTTTACTTTTTTAACACGCCCAGAGGACCTGATTTAACTTTTTAAGATTTTTCTACCTGGGTGATTGAGCATGCATCAGGACATATTAAACACAGTTAGCACCTTCTCACAGTGGATCAACCAGTTTGCCAAATATGCTAAGGGAGACCATCAGCCTAACAATGAATCGTTGGCACCCTGATGGTTGCTTGCTATTCACAGGGGGCTGAGTGATACTAGCAATATCAGCGATGTAAGAAGAAGACAGTCCCTCTTACAATGAAGTCTTTTGTTAAGAAGTCAAGTAGTCTTTTGGATGAAAGATGAAACGTTTCTACATTTTGTTACCACATGCCCTGTCCCCTCAGTCTCTCAAAGTTAACAGTGAATTTGTCCTTATGCATGCTCAATAACCCAGGTAGAAAAATTTAAAAAAGTTAAATCAGGTCCTCTGGGAGTGTTAAAAGAAAAAAAAGGTAGAAAAAAGCTGTGCAGATAATATTCTACTTTTTTTCTTTTAACACACACTCAGAGGACCTGATTTAACTGTATGTAAACAGTGAATTTGCTTACTTCCCTTAATATGTTAATTATATCAGTGTTATAAAGTAAAACTCATTTAAGGGCTAAACAAAGCGGGTCTGAGTCTGACACACATTAATTAATTTAGATGTATTTAGATTTAATGTCGATGAATTACTTTTTCAACTTTTTGTCCCTTATTTTAGTATTTGTGATGCATGCTTTGGTATTTGTTGTTGTTATTTTGTTGTTTGTTTTTGGCGAGTCAAGACTGTTTTCTTCGTCCTAAGCAATTCACTGCATTGTTGTCGACCTTGTGTTGATTTTGCATATGACAAATAAACCATACTTGATAAAACGTTCTGTTTGTATTGTTCTTGGAAGAGAGGTAGATTGATAACGTTAACTAGCTAGCTTTACTAGCATCACTTACACAAAGCTGCGGCGCTTACCTTTCTTTGTGCTTCCTTTCCAGGTGTCGATAAAAGTTGGATGTAGTCCCGACAGAAACATACTCTTCGTGACTCAAATAGCCAAACTTTATAACAGCAGATTTAGAAGACATCTTCTCTTGTTCTAAACACAAACAAGTCTAACTTTTCTTCCCTGACGCTTGCGAGTGAAAGGAGGTGGGCTCGGTGTTGCCAGATAGAGTCGAGATTTTCCAGCAAAAAAATCGGTTAAAAACCGCAACATCACACAAAAACCTGCACAATCTATATTTGTTACAGTATATTTACTTTTTGAACACAAACCCACATCAGTACAAGCCAAGGTAATTTAACAATATGTGGCAAAACGGAACAGTCCAACAAAAATCTTCCCAGAGTTCCCAGCAAAATCAGAACGAAAACTGGCCAATTGGCAGTAAACCACCCAATCTGGCATCACTGGAGTGGTAACAAAAACATGTAGCTAGCTGCTATGAGTCACGTTATCGCTTGAATTTGAATCGGTATGTTTTGCATCCAGTAAAAGCAAAGATGTTAACAAATAAACTGGACAATATTCTGGCAATTTAGTGATATTTTCACAGTTGTGGTCTTGACTGGTCTTGGAAAAAAAATCCCGAGTCCTCAATGTCCGAGACCGTGACAAGACCGAGACCAAATGCGGTCGAGACCGAGACAAGACCGAGACCGTCAAAAAGTGGTCTCGAGACCGGTCTCGAGACCAAGACCGGTCTCAAGTACTACAACACTAGCACGTAGTACCTTTTTTTGACAACCTGATGGCACTATAAGACTGTTTGAACCAAAGGATGGATAGTTGAGCTGCCTGTCTCTAAAAAAAATGGGAGGGAGGGCCCTTGATGTGACATGCGCTGACAAGGGCTGACATGGTGACATGGCGGACGCTCAGTGTGGTTTGAGCTCTTTAGCATAGCATTTGTCACACAAAGCTTTGGAAAAAAAAATCAGTAAACAAGTTCTCAGCTTCTTTTTGCAGAGAAAAACAACTTTTTAGACGAACCCCCCCGAGGTTGGCCTGTTAGCTTAGCTCGTAACGTAGCTTCTCAGCTTAGCTGTTTTTAATGTTCCAAAAACACGGTTTTGGATGGTTAAAATAGATGTTAACGAAAAAAGAGAAAGGGTAGGGTCAGTGAAGAGTACCAGAGTTGAGCCTTTTGTCATCCAGTGTCTTCAGTAGAAAGAGAGAGACACAAAGAAACGATGAAGCTGATAAATGAAAAGGAGGTCGATAATTTTCATTTATCATGCGATTAATTGATTTATTGTTTATCGTGACAAACCTGCCTTGCAGTGGAAAAAAACTTTTTCTTTTCTTAATTACCGTATCTCCTTTTATTTGGCTTTGACAAAATAGTTCCTTAGCAAAACATGCTTATTTTTCTCAAGAGTAATGAAGACGATAGACAACACAAAAACACATCTGGACGGGGAAAAACCGGAAGACGGACTCAGAACTTTGGAAAAGTGTAACTTTTATGAGACTCATCAGATTCAGTGACAGTCCTGGAATTTCCACACCGTTTGGACCGTATGATGTGTAAGAATTCAGTCTGCCTCCATAACTTTACACACACTTCTTCATGCTACACACTGACTGTACACAGAGCCTGAATTTAACCAGTTTTTACACCAGTGGCAATCAGACACTTCATACTGGGAGTTAAAAACACGTTGCACAATTGAACACGGTGGGACAGGGAGGGGTGTGATCTGGAAGGAAGCATTTGGCAGACATGTTTCTTCACTCACTATGATTGAAACCATATTTCTCCTTAGGTTTATCTCACCGACACATCTGTCACCTCTACAGCAGATACAAACACCTAAAGTACCAACACCAGCGTTTCGATGGCTTTTACAGAAGGAGGCACCAGCTTTACTACCTCACTCACTGATTTACTGCAAGCTGTGGACTTGTGATAACATTTCTTTAGTTTTCTCTGCAGAAAAGTGAGTAAGTGTAAAGCAGAAAAAAGCAGAGCCTCCGCCAACTGAACCTTGCCAATTTCCAGAAAAAGATAAACGCAAAACGGGCAGTAACTGTCAAAACAAGCCGTTTGGATCCCAACTCGATGGCTTGGATCAACTAAAACATTACATAAACTCTGTGCAAAGCAGGACCTTAAGTCTCTGGTGATTAAATTCACAGTCAGGCGACTGAATTTATTTCGCTGGTACCTGAAATTCACACACAGGCATCTTGTCTGTTGTGCTGAGGTTGTTAAAAAACGGCTGCACACAGAAAGTTTCCTCTGTTCCGTGTGCTGTAGTAAGCTGGAAACTGGATGTTAATGCAAAAAAGGAGAAGTGTGGGGACAAGTGAATGCACTGCAGCTAAAGCAGTTTCTATTTCCCACATTAAACATGTCAGGATCATTTCAGTGCGTTTCATTTGATGGATAAAGATGCAATTTGCTTCCACTCCACCTGCACAATATCAAACCCTCCTGAGTGAAAAGCAACAGCAAAATAAATTGAAAATAGGGACAAGTGAAAATTTCTATTGAAAAAAAAGAATGATATATTTAGACTCGCCTCCAAAGGCAAAAGGATGGTTATGTTTTGCCTGTGTTTGTACCATTAGCAAAATATCTCATGAGCCACTGAATAAAATGTAATAAATCTCAAAAAGCAATCACTGGATGTATCTACAAATGTTTAACTTTTGGAGTCAACCTCATTCAAGATGGCCGCCAAAGCTAACTGATCTTAGAAAATGCAAAAAAATGTATAATTCAGACAATTTGACAGAAATAGAGCTAAAAACCTGGTGTGGTAGCAGCTGAGCATCATCCCCAATGCAATCGTTCAAACAAAACATATTGTGCAACATCTACCCTAAAACTTTTAACTGTGAGTCAATACTGTCCGTTAGCAAAATATCACATGAGCCACTGAAAGTAATTAGTGGATGTACATCTATAACTCAACAGTTGGAGTCAACTCAATTCAAGGTGTCTGCCACAGCTTAATGACCTTAGCCAACACAAAAATGGCTACAAGTCAGTCCAGTTTACAAATACCGAGCTAAAGTTTGGTGTGGTAGTAGCAGAGTGTCACCCCTAAGTGGTCTTGTGAGCGTTAACACATCTCACAAGACCACATGAAACGGCGCACAACTTTATTTATAAGGTTTGACCAAAACAGCTATAATTCCTTCCCTCTGCATCAAAAAAGTATCTACATTTTAAACTCTCGTATTAAATGCTGCGGGTGATTCTTTCAAAGAACGCTGAGCCGCCAACTGGAAGTTTAGTAGTTTCCTCCTTTGGTGACTGATGGCAACAAATCCAAATGCAAACACAGCAATCCCTTGATTACATGTCAGAGTCACATGTTTCAAACTGCTCTTACTAGAGTCAAATTTAGATTTAAGACCTAAACGCAATTCAACTTTAATGATAAATGTTTATCATCCAAATGTTCTTCAATTATTTTTAACAGCAAAAGACTTATTTAAAAACAAAATTGTGGCCAAGACAGAAGAAAATGTAATTTAATGACACTTTTTCCCCGATTACAAATATTTAGCAACGGCTCTATCTTTTAAATAATAAATAAATAAATAGTATGCATTAGTAACCTAACCTTTAACTGTTATATTTCTCACTGACGGGTTTATACCGAGTTTCTTATTTTTGACTGAACCACAGAAAAGCAGTGATAACAGATCCTGAACTTTCACCTACATTACCTTTTTTTTTTTTTTTAACCAAAAAAACCTCAAGGTAAATTAAAAAAAACTACACAAGTCTTTATAATGTGTTATTTCGAAACTGACAAGTTTATTAACACACAATACCTCAGACACATCCTTCAAAAGCGATGTTGAAAAGGGAAAAGACTGTGGGCTTTGTTGCGTTTTCACCCTTTCTAATGACCCCCAGAGAGCGGAGCTGTAATCCTTCCAGCTCTGGTAAATGTATAAGCTCGCTCCCATCCCTGTAGTTATCTAACAGTAAAAGTAGGACTATTCTGCAATGCCTACTTAATTTAACATCTGTTATAAGTACTTTTCTATTAAAGCTGTTTTGTTCACTTGTTTCTTTAAGTTGAGGCAAATGTAGTTTTTTTCTACAAGCAGTCATTGTAAAGAAGAGACATAAATATGCACCATACCTGAACAAGAGCCACTCCGGCCATCAAGATCAGCAGGGAGAGCCACTGGTAGACTCCCAGCCTGCGGCCCAGCATGGACACAGAGAACAGAGCTGTGGTCAGTATCTTCAGCTGGTATGTCACCTGATGGACACAAAGTGGGAAAACTTAAACGCAGCTTGCTACAATGAAACAGATTCAAACAATGTTGTCTTAAGCAGCTCATCTAGCCTCGGTCGTACCTGATACGTGGCTGCGTCCAGGTTGGACAGGGCGACGTACAGCAGGTTGTTCTGCAGCGTGTAGATCCCTGAAGGGATCGCCAGCTTCAGTGTTTCGATGGGTTTGTGCAGGATTTCCTGACGAAGGACGCTGTTCAGAGCTCTCACACTGTAACCTGAACAAATGGAGTAAGACCAGTTAGACGCGCCAACATTTAGTTGGGTAAACTTCAACTGGATGTGAAAATGTATAGAAAGTACGACATTAAAGCCATTTTTACATTGAATCCACCACACGTTTGAGAAAGCATCTGCATTTATCTAACAGCTTTTTTATTGTGGGATGAAGTGCTTCTGAAATATTGTGAAACTGTATAAAGACATTCCAACAATAAAACGTAACAAAGAATTTCAAGTTAAAACAACTTCAACAGTTTTCAAGGCATGAACAAACAAATAAATCCTTTTATTTTTGCAGTTTGGTTTCTATGAGCACAAATCCATTTATTTATGAATTATTTAATGCTCTAAGGTTTTGTAATGAAATACTTCAGTAACTGTTTCTATCAGTATTTGTACAGAAGAGTACTTCTTCCACTGTCACTCACTGTGCTCTTTGAACACGAGCAGCACGCACGCGACGATCTTCATGACTTCCGCCACCACCACGGCGGAGGAGGCCAGGTACCGCGGCCCCTCGGCCTGCAGGGTGCGGGAGTACCTCATGGTGAGCACCAGGGAGGTGGTCTGGAACACCAGCACGCCCAGAGAGAGGTACTTCAGCCGGGACGAAGCCATGCCTTCGGCTCGTTGAGAAACTGGAAAAACAAGGTCAGTGAACGCACCGTGTGGAGCTAAATGAATGAGAAGTAACAGGTGGGCAGAGACGGATGGACTCACCTTTTCTTCAATCGCCTTCACACGTTCGTCTCTGCATTAAAGTGAACCCCTCGGTGTAATGTGTACCTCCGTGGTCTTTATTTCTATTTGACACAGAATGACAGACAGACGCGGTGGTGGACCCAGCTGTCAAAACAGCAGCTCCGCGACTGTCCCACGACCGCCCGTCCGTCGTTTGACGAACATTATCTCTTCAGGTTCTTTTGACAGACGGTCACAACGTATTGTGTCATTACAGTTCAACTATCCACCGCCAAACAACGATTAAAAACACGGTGGGTGGAAATAAGAGTCACCAGGAAAGGTAAACTCATAGTAAAATCCCTTGCAGCTTCCGTGTTCTGTCTTCTTCTTCTCTTGGGTTCAATGGCGGTGGGCGAACTAGCCAAAGGTGCACTACCGCCACCATCTGGACGACCGGAGGAATGCAGCGAAATGTCAAAAAATGCTGAAGTGGCTGAAGTCTATCAATCAACCTTTATTTAGACAGGTAAATCCCATTGAGCCTCGAGGACTCATTTACAAGAGAGACCTGATTTCAACAAAGAAAGATGACAACAATGGACAACAGCAACAACAATAAACAATTATAAAAAGTCATACTGCAGGGTTTTTTTTTTGTTTGTTTTGTTTTTTTACAAATAGGATGGCTAAAAGGAAAAGGTAACAAAAAAAACAGCTAGATTCTAAGGCAAATGTAGAAAACTAAAAACAGGAACATGTCTGCATTGGTCCCTGCCAGGAGTCCAACAGATTCTTAAAGCCACTTACATCTGTGTAAACACTTACATACTGTACATCAACTTTAATGTACAGTATTGGTACGTATTTATTCCCAAATAATTAGAGTAAATTATGCATTTAAAAGGGATGAGAATCAGCACCTCCAAATCTGAGGCCATGGTCCTCAGTCGGAAAAGGGTGGATTGCTCTGTTTGGGTCGAGGGTTCTGCCTCAAGTGGAGGAGTTCATGTATCTTGGGGTTTTGTTCACGAGTGAGGGAAGAAAGAAGCATGAGATTGACAGACAGATTGGTGCAGCATCTGCAGTATTACAGTAAGAGGGAGCTGAGCTGTAAGATAAAGCTCTCTGTTTACCGGTTGGTCTACGGTCCTACCCTCACCTATGACCATGAACTCTGGGTATAGTGACTGAAAGAATGAGAACACGGTGACCATTTTCACCATTAAATAAATGTATAATAAATGTGACAGGTCAGTGGTGATGTATAATAAATGCGACTTATACGCCAAAGTGACTTGTATATGTATTTTTTCCTCTTCATAATGCTTTTTAGACTGATGTGACTTATACGCCAGAAAATACGGTATATGCTGCACTTATATCCAGTACATAGTGCTGAAGACAAATTCATAGGCTACAGCTTGTTTGTGTTCTTAATGGTCAGGGACCATGTGGGTAAACACTAATCTCAATATACAAACCGGATTCCAAAAAAGTTGGGCCACTAAACAAATTGTGAATAAAAACTGAATGCAATGATGTGGAGATGGCAAATGTCAATATTTTATTTGTAATATAACATAGATGACAGATCAAAAGTTTAATCTGAGTAAATGTAACATTTTAAAGGAAAAATACGTTGATTCAAAATTTCACAGTGTCAACAAATCCTAAAAAAGTTGGGACGAGTAGCAACAAGTGGCTGGTAAAAGGAAATTGAGCATATAACGAACAGCTGGAAGACCAATTAACACTAATTAGGTCAACTGACAACAAGATTGGGTATAAAAAGAGATTCTCAGAGTGTCAGTGTCTCTCAGAAGCCAATATGGTAAGAGGATCACCAATTCCACCATTGTTGTGCAGAAAGATAGTGCAGCAATACCAGAATGGTGTTACCCAGCGTAAAATAGCAAAGACTTTTAAGTTATCATCATCAACCGTGCATAACATCATCAAAAGATTCAGAGAATCTGGAACAATCGCTGTGCGTAAGGGTCAAGGCCGTAAAACTCTACTGGATGCTCGTGATCTCCGGGCCCTTAAACGTCACTGCACCTCAAACAGCAATGCCACTGTCAAGGAAATAACAGAATGGGCTCAGGAATACTTCCAGAAAGCATTGTCAGTGAACACAATCCACCGTGCCATCCGCCATTGCCAGCTGAAACTCTACAGTGCAAAGAGGAAGCCATTTCTAAGCAAGCTCCACAAGCTCAGACGTTTGCACTGGGCCAGGGGTCATTTAAAATGGAATGTGGCAAAATGGAAGACTGTTCTGTGGTCAGATGAGTCACGATTTGAAGTTCTTTATGGAACACTGGGACGCCATGTCATCCGGACCAGAGAGGACAAGGATAGCCCAAGTTGTTATCAACGCTTCGTTCAGAAGCCTGCATCACTGATGGTATGGGGTTGCATGAGCACTTGTGGCATGGGCAGCTTGCATGTCTGGAAAGGCACCATTAATGCAGAGAACTATGTTCACGTTCTAGAACAACATATGCTCCCATCTAGACGTCATCTCTTTCAGGGAAGACCCTGCATTTTTCAACACGATAATGCCAGACCACATTCTGCAGCAATCACAACATCATGGCTACGTAGGAGAAGGATCCGGGTACTGAAATGGCCAGCCTGCAGTCCAGATCTTTCACCTATAGAGAACATTTGGCGCATCATAAAGAGGAAGGTGCAACAAAGAAGGCCCAAGACGATTGAACAGTTAGTCTGTATTAGACATGAATGGGAGAGCATTCCTATTTCTAAACTTGAGAAACTGGTCTCCTCTGTCCCCAGACGTCTGTTGAGTGTTGTAAGAAGAAGGGGGGATGCCACACAGTGGCAAAAATGGACTTGTCCCAACTTTTTTGGGATTTGTTGATGCCATGAAATTTGGAAACAACAGATTTTTCCCTTAAAATGATACATTCTCTCAGTTTAAACTTTTGATCTGTGATTTGTGTTCTATTCTGAATAAAATATTAGATGTTGGCACCTCCACATCATTGCATTCAGTTTTTATTCACAATTTGTTTAGTGTCCCAACTTTCTTGGAATCCGGTTTGTACACTAATCTAGATTTAACTACTGCCTAACCTCTATCTGTGGTCCTAGAGCAGGTAGACACAAAATATACTATAAAGTGTAGGTCAAAACCAATACAAATAAATGCAGGATAAAAAGAGAACATTTACAGTTCCTCTGCATTGCGTTACCACACATTCATCTGCTGATCCTCATTCTGTCTTTTGATTATTCCAATATTTCCAATATTTCATCTCAGCCACCATTCAAACATTTCTAGCTTTTAAAAAATCTATATGTGCTATATATTGTCAGCATATATTTCCATCCATCCATTATCTTTACTCACTTCTTCCTTTCCGGGTCACGGGGGTCACTAGTGTCCAAGTCCAGCCATCACTGTGGGAGAGGCAGGGGACACCCTGGACAGGTCTTCAGTCCATCACAGGGACACGAGACAAAACAACCATTCACTCTCTCAATTACACCTACAGACAATTTAGAGTTACCAATCAGTCTGAAGTTTCCATACAATGAAATATTTGTGCAGCATTTGACCCATCATGTGGGTTACACCCATGTTGAGCAGTAGGCGGCTATTTAAGCTGCATTTGGGGGGGGGGGGGGGGGGGAGTTAGGATTTAGGTGTTTTGCTCAAGGACACCACAACATGTGGGCATGGCAGGGAATTCAACCTGTGACTTTCTAGTCCCAAGTCAGCTGCCCTAAGGACTCTACGTGTGCTTGATGTTAAATCTCTCATTTCATATTTGAAGTTCTGACAGCATCATGTGAGGTCAGGGGTCGCCACAGCGAACACTCGCATCAGGATTTGGCAATTCTTTTACTCTGGATGCCCTTCTTGATGCAACCACAGAGCTACTACAGCCCTCTGTGTGGAGCAGAGAGCTGCCATCTAGGGGGCCCGGGGGGAGCAGATGGTGAGGGGTTAAGGGCCTTGCTCAAGGGCCCAGACCAGGGCAGATGTGGGTGCTTCACCTTTTCCACCTACATTTTGATGTTACGGTCAGCAGGGGGATTCAAACCAGCAACGTTCCAATCATGAGTTCACTTCTCTAACCTCTGCACCACCACTACCCCATAATCAACTTTAAAGATCACAGTTCAAAAACAACATACATGCACAAGTCTATGAAGATTGGAGTTTTATTTCAGTAAACGTTTGGCTGATTACTATTTTAAACAATTTTTGTAATCTGTCTTATTGGTACCTTACAACACTGAAAAAACTACTTCATATTGCATGAATATTATAAGCTTTTTGGTTAACATAGGAAATAATGATAAACATAAAAATACATTTATACACAAAATATAGACATGGGGGGCAGTGAGTATGGAGAAGGCCAAACAAACATTTGGTTTGTCCTCACAGGCAAGGCTGGAGTGCTGTTTGTCTAATGCAGTGGTCCCCAATACTGGTCCTTGAGGAACACCACCCTGCATGTTTTATTTGTTTTCATGCTTTGACACACCTGATTTGAATGAACGGGTGATTAACAGGCTTCTGCAGAACTTGATGAAGTAATTAAATCACTGAATCTGGTGTGTTGGTGCAGAGAAACAACTAAAACATTCAGGATGGTGTTCCTCAAGGACCAGTGTTGGGAACCATTGGTCTAATGTTGGAAAAATCTCAAGACTTTTGCAGAACAACAATGAACATTTTTGGTTTAACACAAAAAATTTGGTCTTATAGATACAAATGTTCTTCAGCTGTCAACAGGTACTGATTGTCTGTATTTAAAAACAATGTTCAACATCAGTTTCAAGACGGAAGACAAGAAAAACCCATCTCATCTTTGCTTAGCTTCAGACATGACTGAATAAAGATGATTACAAGGGACTAACTGTAACTAATTAGATATTTTTGGAGGACAACTCTTTAGAGGAGCTGTAGTTTAACGGTAGAAACCTTTGTAACATTCAAAATCATTCAGGAAGTGCAGGACAATATTTATATAAAAAAAGGAAAGTCTACACCAAATTAAACTAAACTAAAACCAGCAGAATCTGCTTTAGGTGTATTTACATTTCATTATACAACATCAAGAATCTGGTGACAGAATGGTACAAGGAGTGTAACAAAACTAATATATTTTTTGCAAAGTATTTGCATTAATCCCTCCAGACTATTAAAAATAGTTGTACTCTGAACAGAAAAACTTTGACACACTTTGGTTTTATACCGTCTTGGACGTCACACCATAAGAACTGAAACTATGGCCTGAACATAAAACCTGCTTTTCAAGTGTGGAGACAGATTAAAATGTACCAAAGTTTACACAAGTGTCAAAACATGTAACAGCAAAATGCATCATTTAAGGCATCTTTGTGTTTTTCATCATTCAATAGTCCTAGTACAAAACAACCTTTAACACAATAAAGACATGAATAAAAAACAAGCAGATCTCTGGGTGGTTTTCTTTGAGAATAAAAAAAGTGACTTATTAAATAAAAAATGTAGAGTAAATGGTTATTAACCAGGAGTTAGTACTGTCAGGTTCATTACAATGAAGAAAAGTGAGAAACAAATAGAAACAGAGCAGAAAGTGTCAGTGTAGAAATCTGCAGTTCTGCTTCTGTGTCACAAAACAGTCTTTTTGTTTTTCTGCTGCGGCAGTCGACAGCTCCATAACGATTTTACTACGGTGAAAGTCTGTTGCCAGCAACTGAACAGAAAGTCTTGACTGGAAATAAAGCAACTGTATGGAAACGTTTTTAGAGCTTGTGACATCTACCTCCAAGCTTCTGGTGCAGACAACTGATGATTTTTACCCCATAGTTATCAGGAACGTAATACAAACTATATACAGTTTTTTTCAGCTGTAAAGCAGTGAAGAAAATGTAATGTCTGATTAACATAATGAAGAATTTTAAGGTGAGAAAAGAGCTGATTGTTTTTTGTGTGAACCTTAAAGTCAGTCTGTTTCTGCTCTTTTCGGGCAGCTTTATGCGAACACCTGCATGTTTCCGTGCTGAGGCTGCTGAGACGGCTGCTGCATCTGCTGGGACTGGGGCTGCATCTGTGCCTGCTCAGGAACGTGTGTGTGATGCGATGACGGCAGTGCGTGGTGGGTGTTTCCCAGGGGGGTGGGGCTGGTAGTGACGTCGGACCAGTCTGAGTTGGAGTGAGGTGAAGATGAGGACCAGGGATCGGGGGATTCGGGCGAAGGAGTGAGATAAGGGTGCTCGCTTGGCGGAGGGTTAGAATGGGCTGGAGTGGTGCCTTCTGAGCCAGCGGTGGTGTAACTGTGCTGGGAGGGGGGTGTTGGGTATTTATTCACAGGGCTCTGCATTGCTGGATAGGACTGCAGTTGTCGAGACTGACCTTCCATCCCTCCGTGGTTGATGTGGCTGACAGTGTGGGGTTGCTGCAGAGTGTGGGAGGGTGCGTGTGTCATGCTCATCTGCTCTGACATCTGGTATATCATCCCCTGACTGCAGTGCAGGTGCCCCTGTCCCTGCTGGGGGTGACCCAAATTCTGATTCTGCCCTTGGGCCTGCGTGACTTGCACCTGACCCGATTGCTGCTTCAGCATGGTCTGGGGGCCTCCAGGAGTCATCATCTGGAAAGTGACGATGGGTGGCAGCTGCTCCCTGCTCATGGTGACGTTCATGGGAGTCATCATCGGGCTCTGGCTGAGGTGTTGGGTCATGCCTGGGTGTGATCCTCTTATCTGGTGAGGGACGATGCCGAACATGTGGCTGTTGTAGCTGTGCTTGGGCATCCTCACCCAGCTTTGCTGCTGTCCCAGCATGTGGCTGACAGGAGGAAGCATCTGCCTGCTGGTGGGACTGTTCAGAAGAGGAGGGGAGTTGGCTGTGTTGGAGCCAGAGCCAGAGACATCACCTGTGAAGGAGTGAGGTGACTCCAGGGAGTCAACAGGTGACATGGTGACAGAGCTCTCCGGGAGTCCTCCCGATGCCTTTACACCAGTCGTGTTTCCTCCTCCTGCACCACCTCCATTTGCTGCACTAACTCCAGCACCCAAAGCTGGTCCCTCTCCACCAGCAGGCTTCTTTCTTCTCTTTGCCTTCATGTCTTTCAGCTCCTTAGCCCCCCCTCCAACACCTCCCATCTTCGATCCACCTCCACCCCTCCTGCTCTTTTTGCCTTGAGGTCCTGGGCGCATACCGACGAAACCCGTTCCATTGGCTCCACACATCGCAGAGTTTCCTCCTCCACCCATATGGTTAGGCCCATTGTGTGGACTGTGGACCAGATTGTACTGGTCTAGCAGACGGACTATGTCGTGATGCATGCGCTCTTGAGCAGTGTCACGAGGAAGGCGGTCCAGGTGGTCAGTGATGTCACGATTTGAGTAGTGGTCAAGAAGAACCTGGGCAGCCTCGAAGCTACCTTCTCGGGCTGCCAGAAACAACGGCGTCTCCTCCTGAAGGAAACAGACACACACAAAACAAAGTTACCACGTGTGATGCTCCACATCAGAATCCCTCCTTTAACCACATGATCTATCACTTCATTAGTGCCACTGTGATGCAGTTTGATATACCATATGCAAACATCCATACATCAGAATCACTGCTCCAGCAAGCTTACTACAGGATCAAAACTCTTCTGCACACGCTAACAAAATACTTTTGTCTTTGGAACATAGTACCAGAAATCATCCCTCATTTTTTACTATTATACTGCCTTTTAAAAGGAATGTTTTTTTTTGTTTGTTAAACCACCTAACTCAGATTTATAAATCCTTCAGGCATTAAAAAAACATCCTAAACACTGAGAGAAACTTACATTGTCAACACATAACCCATTTTCCCCTGCCCAAACAAATAAATTTAAATGGGATTTATAGGTATTTTGTTTCCAGCATCTTGTTACAAAAACAACTCCATTTGTTCCCATTTCTTTAGTTGAACCTTTAAAATTATTTAAGTTATCATAGATCTAAAACAAAACAAAACAAAGTATTTCAGTACTAAAAAGGTCATTTTCACAGAACTGAGAGCTAAAAATCTGTAATGCAGTAGATGAAGGAAGATGCATCTCTCAGGTCCTGTCAAGACTGCTGGATTGTTTTCCTGTTTCTTAAAGAAATGACTTTCCTCATTTTTTAAAGCGCAATTCACAACATTTTGTCACATAAGGTTCAAAGACTGGACAGAGAATGAGTAATGAGTTACCTGCCAAAGTAAAAAAAAAAAAAAAGGACATTGAAAGATCTTCAGATCTAAAACACTAAACATTACATCTGGGTTTGACTGATTGAAAATATCAAAAATGACAAGTGGTTTTAAAACGAGGTATATTGAGATGTATAAAAAAATATATAAAATATGTGTAACTACAAAACTTCAGCTCCACATTCACTGAAACGTTCATAATTATTAAAAGGCAAAACTTAAGTGAGACTTAAAAAAAGTCCATGCTCAATAATCCAGGTATACAATCCAACAATTTTCAGTCAGGTCATCTGGACAGTTTCTTTTTTTTTTTTTCTGAAACGTTTCACCTTCCATCTGGAAGGCTTCATTAGTCAAGAAAACACACAACGCAAAACTGATTCTTCACCCAACAGCTTACTCCAAAGTGGAACAGTTATGTTGGTGCTAAAATGGTGTCTTTGGCACACCCCCTCCTCTGAGCAGGATTATTGAGCATGGATTTTTTTGGTTTTGAACCAGTTTGACATGACTGTCAACAAGGAAGAGGGCCGGCTTCAGAGGAGGGGGCGTGCCAAAGACACCATCTTAGCACCAACATAACTGGTTTGTTCCACTTTGGAGTAAGCTGTTTGGGGAAGAATCAGTTTTGTGTTGTGTGTTTCCTTGACTGATGAAGTCTTCTAGATGGAAAGTGAAATGTTTCAACAAAAAAAGAAACTGTCCAGGTGACCTGACTGAAAATTGTTGGATTGAGTGAGACTTGTTTCAATAAAAATAACCCCTTTATTCTTAACTTTTCACGTTATTTTTTCAAAATAATGATTTATTGTTTTACAAGCTATAGAATAGATATTTACTTGTGAGTGCTTTATTTAGTTTATTTAGTTGCTTTATTCTTTACTTGATCCATTTTATAGCTAAATACTAGTCCATTTTTATTACAGTTATGTTATGTTGTTTATTTGTCATAAGCAGGTAAACACATGGTCAACAATGTAATGAAATGTTCACAATGAGAAGAAGCGAGTAGGGCTGAGTACCGAACCGAGGTTCTTTTATGGCACCGATCGAACTGCACCGGTCGGTGTATGTATTGAAACGTCACTCTTCTTTCGGTGTCAAGTTTCGGTATTGGCTGTAACGTGTCACGTGGTTTCAGCATGCAGGCAGGCAAAACACCAGACATATGACAAACAGACTACACCCAGATTACATCCAGAGCTGTATAGAGCTGCCGTACCTAATCTATGTATAATTATGTCTATGGTGCTGGTGACGCCCACAGACGGGTTCACGTGTGCAGCGCGTGTTGTCGAACGGCTTCGACAACACGCGCTGCAGAAAGTTGCTCCGTGTTTTTCTGCGAGGAGACAGGAATTCAGCAGCTTCCCCCCTCCTCCTCTTCCTCCTCCTCTCAGCGTTAAAGTCAGCCTGTGAGAGCCTGAACGTCCTGATTCGTTATCTCCACGACCGGACTCTTCATCAAAGAAGTCCGAGGATGGCTCTGTGTGCTTCAGCTGGTGAGTTTACGTTTGTTAGCGTAACTGCAGCTTAACACGTACATCACGGTGAAATAAATTATGATCCATGTAACGCTAACTTTAAAATATTAGTGTGTAAATGTATTTTATCTACGTAGCTAGCTAAACTCAGAAGCTAACTAAAGATTGACAGTAACATAAAGCTTAGCTTGTAAAACTGCTCATCCATCCAGTCAGCTGCTTAAACAGTTCACTAATGTTCAGTGTTCATGTTAATGTTCTCCTCACAGGAGCCTCTGACCTTGATGTGAGGAGGACAAAAGAAAAGCGAGGTGGGGCCACAGGACAATCAGACTTTGTTGTTAAAAGTTTGCTGCTTTTTCTACACTGGAGCTGCACGGTGGAGGTAAGTTAAACTTTAAAGGATTTTGTTGACCAGTTGAGCTTTTATCTCTCAGCCTAGATAATGTTTTTTGAGCAATAAGAACACAACCATGTTATTGTTGATGTTTTGTTCTCATGTCAGTTAGGGAGATGATCAGTTTCCTAAACCCCAGAGAATCACAGAGAAGATTCAGGCAGAGACACAGAGGTGCAGATGTCTGCATCATCCCTAACCTCATTGAATCCAGTGACCTGCTGGTGGAATGTGAGGGACAATATGTCAGTGCTATCAAACTGACAACCAGGTATCTGTGTGTGCAACAAGCATCATCTACAGCCTCAGAGTGAACATTTTCTACTGCTGGAGACGCCATCAGCCAGGAGCGGACTTGTTTGTGTCCACAGAAAGCAGACATGTTGATGTTTCTGAAGAAAAACTGTTCAGTGAAAAGGTCCTCAGTGTATAGCAGTGAGCATTAGACACTGATGTGTCACTGGTTTGTAACTGGTCTTTTGACCTGGAAATTATTTGTTTGTTTTTAATGTAAGAAAACTGCTTGGAATGGAAAAAATACCTAAGTTAAAAAAATAAAACTCACAATTTGTACTGTAATGTGTAACGTAATTTTATTCTTGTTAGAATTAATAGTAATTACAAAATTGGTACCGAAAAAAGAACCGTCCAGGAACCGACACCGAAGTGAAGGTACCGACACCGGGACCGATACCGATTTTTTTAGAAAGGTACCCAGCCCTAGAAGCGAGTCATTTTGCTAAAAACAAATAAACAAGAAATACTAAAGAATGCAATAAGGATACAAAATAAAGAACCAAAAAGTGAAAAAGAAATATAATATATACAAGGTCCAAAAGAAATATAGTAAACAATGCGATTGTTGATCCAATTTGCAAAGTTTGCGTATTGTTTTTATGCAATTAGTGCTTAGTGTATATTTAGTTGATGCTTTTCTTAGTTCATATCTTAGATCTTATTATTGTTTTTCTTTTACATTTTATTGTGGGATGTAACTGGGACCCTGTGTATGTAATCTCGTTCCACCACATGTACCACATGTGGTGTGTATGACAAATAAATATCTCAGACTCAAAGAGTTTGTGATTGACAAAAACATTACACAACAATGATAAAACTGGAGAAATAAAGACAGGCACACACCTTGTTGTCTTGCATGTCACGGTTGGCACCGTTCTTCAGAAGCACAAGTGTGGCCTCCACATTATTGACTGCAGCTGCCCAGTGCAGAGCAGATTTACCTAAAACAGTCAGATGAAAGAGGGAAGGGAAGACACCTGTGTTAAAAAGTCTTAGCAATAATTATCACCCATATTTAATGTCAGATCTTATTCCTATTCATGCATCAGCTGCAAATGAGTTATTTACTAGTTTGTGATTTACCCAGTTGGTTTGTAAAAATCAACTCCAATATTACAAGTGAGTAAAGTTTACTTCAGTTGCCACATTTCTTTGGCTGGAGGTGCTCAGCTACTTGCACGAGCACTAAAACCTCTGACTATTTGCTGTAATTTGTAGAGATAACCCCACAGAGAGTGTTTTCTCACCGTGATCATCTACAGCATTGATGTCAGCATGGCAGTGGATCAGCTCTTCCACCATGCCTTCTACAGCCAGCCGGGCTGCCAGGACCAGCGGAGTTGTACCATCGTTCATCCTGGCATCCAGTTCTGTTGCGCGATTACGAATGAGAATCTGAATGAACACAAACAAATAAAACATGACGGTTTCAAACCTAGTTGTAGTAAGAAGGGTTTCATTCTTTAGCACTGACTTCTGTTAAGTCACTGGTGCAACAGCACAAGGACTTTAAATCCTTTATTGATGGGGAAGCTGCCTGACCTGAAAAACTCCCTGAGCATCAGCTGCCACAGCAGCGTGCAGCGGCGTCCTCCCCATGTTGTCGTGAGCGTTGGGATCCGCACCAGCATCCAGCAGTCTCTTAGCAGCGTCCGCTCTGGCGTAGCGAGCAGCCAAGTGGAGAGCTGTTTCTCCCGTTCGATCAGTCTGAGCCTTCAGACTTGCACCTTGAGTGATCAGATCTGAAATCATACTGGGTCCCGGCTCGTCTCCTCCACTCTCCTCCTCCTCTTCATGCAGGCTGCAGTCTGGGCCCCCACCGTTACGCAGTGATGCCAGCATCAGAGGGGTAAAACCATCTGAGGGAGCAAAAAATGTATTACTGCAAAAATAATTACTCAAATTACACTAGATGTAAACATTTAACTAGTATATTTGTACTCACCAGGTCCTTTGACATTAACATCCAGACAGTCAGCATCCAGGTCAGCCTGTGGAGGAGTCAGAGTGATGTCAGCAGCTTTATGATGTTGTAGGGTCCACTCTCTTCGGTCGACACTTCCATCCAGGGGGATGGACAGCAGAGGTTTGTCTTCAGTCTAAAAAATGTCATAGAGTTCGACAATAAATTCTCAACAGACAAATACTTTTAAATCTGCACAAACCTTTATCTTTGACTCATAATTCACTTACTCTTGACTTTTTGGATGGTACTTCATCTTCAAGATATCTCTGGCCTCCATCGGCTATACTTCCATCCTGACTCTTTAAATTCCTAACATGAACATTATTATTTTTTTAGAGATTAATGTAAAACATGAAAAATAAACTTGTACTGCATTATGATGGTGCTCTTTTGTGTTTAGATTAATTTGTTTCTTGAATCCAATCTGCTTGATCAGAATATTCACTCACTTTAAGTCAAAGTCGTCTTGTCCAACAGGCTCTCTCCTCTTGTCATTGTTCGGGGCCATGAAGCCATCAGGCAGCCACAAGAAACCATGTTTATGCTTCTTCTTGACCGCCAGCATCCCAACCACCACAATAAGCAGAATAATAACCACAGCAACCCCAATCAGGTACGGATATATTATAACTGGTCCATCTGTTGGTCCGCCTGTTTTAAAAAAACAAGAGAAAGACGAGTCCAAATATAAACTGGTTTCTCTTTGTTTAATTTACATTTTCACCAAAATATAGTTTTTGTAACTTCTTACTTTTAACAGACACAAGTGGGTAAGGCAGATTAGCCTTGATGTGTGATGCTGCAATATAAGATGCGGCCACAGACGTGTTGGAGAAACAGTGAGAGGGGGAGGAGGTCTTTGAACATTCACGGTTATCAATTTCCAGATGCACCACAGAGCTGCAGAAACAAAGGTAAAAAATGATTACATTAGGAAATTCATTATGTTTTAAATCTCTGACATATGAGAATTACAAAGAAGAATAATTATGAATCACTCTTACCCAATAACCTCTCTGTTTATTTCCCGTTTAGCTCTGCTCTTCTGTCTATCTTGTCTCTGCTCCTCCTCCACCCCATAGTAAGGATACACTTTCGGTTCGTTCTTTTCATTCAGCTTCACCTGCACGCTGGTGTGCAGCAGGGCTCCCAGGGAGCGCAGGAAACCATTTAAGTCTCCAAGCAGCTCCTTGGGCTGCAGTCGAACCACAATGATGAGCGTACCATCTGCCAAATTGGCTGGCACGTCCCTGGAGCAGTCCAGGCCATCCCAACCACAAGCTTCTGTGTAGCAACTCTGGTCACAGATGCCGTTACCATAATGGTCTTTGCAGTACTCGTCATACCTTAAGAAACAAGCCGATTGTGAAAAAGTGTTATTGTTAATTGTGTTAAAATCAACATTTTACTTTATCTGGAACAGCAACAGCAATGGCAGAATCGGTGGCAGAGTGACATACTTGCAGAGGTCAGTTGGAGTTTCCTCACATTCAAAGCTGTCAAAGAAACACCCAGGGTTGTTACACTCCTTATCACATCGCCCATTCTTAAAGAGATCCCAGCAGGGAACAGTGGCGGAGCAGTTAATCCAAGGCTGCAGCAAGCTCAGTGAGCAGTCACCTCCATCCCACCGACAGTCGTGGATGTTGCACTGATCGTCACAGACTTTATCTCCTGCTTGCTGCTCACACATTAGATAGGGGCAGGTTGGATGGGAAGCATGGGATTTATTCTCACAACATCGTCCGAAGAAGTTAATGGGACAGCGGCAGATGTGTTGGTATGGGTTGGACGGGTCTTTTATGTCGGTTCCTCCATTTTGACAGGGTCTGGTGCACCACTGCTCTGTCTCACAGTACGGGCCCTTGAAGCCTGGTTTACACTGGCAGTACAGGTCAGAGTGCGTCTTCATGCAGTGTCCACCGTTCTGGCAACGTAGTTTTGGACAGTTGTAATCCTCTGTTTCACCACAGCTGAATCCAGTATAGCCCTGTAAAACATAATATTTTTCATAAGTTGTTATTTGCTAGAAGCGCTATTTTTATTTTTTCAGAGCCAAGATTATTCTGCCATTGATTTTCAAGTAAACCGTTTTTCGAAGAGTTACTTAAAGCTAGGCCTTTAAATCTGTTTCTACTGTACCTGAGCCATGGAGAGGCCCTCTGAAGCAAGCATGAAAACATGGACGTGGCAAGAGGTTAGTGAAGAGAAAAACAAGCAGTTCATGAGAAGATTGACGTTCAGTAGCAAAAGAAAGGAAAATAGCTGCTAGTCACATGCTTGCCTTTTGTGGTTTCAAGGTCCAAACAAATTTTATAACGTCTCGGAACAAAAAGTCTTATTTTGAAGGACTGGCCGACTTTGAAGAGTAGTAATATTAGTGGTGGGTTGATGTCATCTTACATGACATTTATTGTTTGAGCAGTAAATAATGTACTTAAAATAATAATAAAAAATGCCTTGCCAGCAGTATTTTAAGAGCCTTTCAAATATGTATTTTTATTCATTTTTTAATTTATTTATTTTTAGCTTGGTTGAATTTTCAAGTCATTTACTTTAGAAAACACAAGAGCTGCGTGTTCTATTCAAGAACTTACAGACGGAACAAGATCAAATCCATCAGTGGAAAAATATCTGAGGCTAACTATATACAGATTATGTGTGACTGAATGGAGGCTTGAGTTTCTGAGGTCAGCTGACTGGAGCTGCCATCCTGAGGTTGGCTCCAAAAGATAATCAGTTGTAGATGTACACCCAGTGATAGTTTTCTAAAGGTTTCATTAAAATCTGTTAAGTAGTTTATAAGATATTTTGCTAACAGACAAGAGTTATTTCCAAATGACATCATTTTAAACAATGATCTTGTAAAACTATCCAACAATTAATTAAAATAGTATAGTGTTTGAGTATAAACAGAGGAAGATTGTTAAAAACTATAATTTGATGGCAGAACATAGTCGACATTAAAACGACTTACAGGAAGACAGGAACAGGTGTATCCATGCACCGAGCTCGTGTTCATAGAGCAGATGCCTCTGTTATGACACGGCAATGACACACACAGATCCACCATGGATTCACAATGACGACCTGAAGGAAGAAGAAAAACAAAAAGAGAAAAAAATAAATAAGTATGGCAGTTGTCGGTCTCAAAACAACTCATCTGTCTATTCTTAATACCAGCTTAATCCAGTTTCAAGGATTCAAGGTTCTTTATTTGTCGTACACACCACACGTGGTACATGTGGTGGAACGAAACTGTGTACACAGGGTCCCAGTTACATCCAACAAAAAAATGTAAAGGAAAAACAGTAATAAGATATGAACTAAGAAAAAGAGCAACTAAAAATAAACTAAACACTAGTAGTACAAAAACAATACGCCAGCAGCACGAACATGAGTCTGGGTGAGCAAATTATTACAAATGAACACATCAACATGAAACAGATCAGCAGCAACATGATGTGATTTTTCACAGTGATTATTCTGGTTAGAGATTCATGAGTCTAACAGCCTCAGGGTAGAAGCTGTTCTTCAGTCTAGTGGTTCTACACTTAATGCTCCTCAACCTCCTTCCTGAGGGGAGTAGGGCAAAAAGTATGTGTGCTGGGTGAGTGGGGTCCTTCATGATGCAGGTGGCTCTTCCTGCATCTGGAGGTGTAGATGTCTGTGATGATGGGGAGACTGACTCCAACAGTCTTCTGTGCAGCCTTCACCACTCTCTGCAAAGCTTTTCTTTCTGCAGCTGTGCAGCCTCCATGGCACACGTTGATGCTGGAGCACAGGATGCTCTCCACTGCACACCTGTAGGAGGTGAGGACTGAGCTTCCCAGACCAGCTCGTCTCAGCCGCCTGAGGAAGTAGAGTCTCTGATGAGCTTTCTTGATCAGGCTGGTGGTGTTGTTGCTCCAGCTGAGGTTGTCACTCAGGTGCACATCCAAGTACTTGTAGCTGGAGACCACTTCCACCGCAGATCCACCTATGTTCGGGGGGGTGTAGGTGTAGTCCATGACCATCTCCTTCGTCTTCTTCACATTAATGTGAAGGTTGTTCTCCTTGCACCAGCTCCCTGCCTGTAGCTGGACTCGTTGTTGTTTGTGATGCATCCCACCACCGCTGTATCATCTGCAAACTTTACATTGTGACAGCCTGGATGGGTAGCTGCACAATCATACGTAAGCTGAGTGAACTGGAGAGTGCTCAGCACACATCCCTGAGGGGAGCCAGTGCTGAGGGTTATGGTGGAGGAGGAGAAGTTGTGGATCCTCACAGACTGTGGTCTGTTTGTTAAGAAGTCTAGGACCCAGTTGCAAATGGAGGAGCTTAGTCCTAATGTGAACAGTTTGTCCATCAGGGTCTGGGGGATCATGATGTTGAAGGCAGACGTAAAGTCCACAAAGATCATACAGATGTAGGATTCCTTCTGCTCCAGGTGGGTGAGAGCAGTGTGGACCACTGAGGAGATCGTGTCTTCAGTTGATCGGTTCTCAAGGTATGCATACTGGTGAGGGTCCTCACTGATGTTGATGGTTGTTTTGATGTGGGCCATGACCAGTTTTGTTGAAGCATTTAGCGACTATCGGGGTGAGGGCTACTGGTCGATGACAAAGATGACAAAGATGTCGGCCAGCACCTCGCAGAGCTTATCAGCACAGTTTTTCAGCACCTTCCCAGGGATGATGTCTGGGCCAGTTGTTTTGTGTGGCTTAATCCTCTTGAAAGTTTAGGGTTGTCAGTGTTTCCCCTACCATTATACAAGCAGGGTGTCCCACCCTGTCAACAGAACTAAGCGCCCTGCCTACCAAACTGACAACTGTACCGACAACTGCCAGCTTTGACGTAGTGGTCCGCAATAGAGATGCTCTAGCTAAAAAGCTATAGGTAGCTAGTTCTGCTTCCCTAATGTTGAGCCATCTCCTTCTTACACCCCGGCTCGAAAATCTGTTGGCACAAGCAGTGTGCAACACAATCATGTCTCTGTCTACCCTCCAATCACAGAAGCTATGAGTGCCCTGCCTAGGTAAGGAAACTAGGGGAAACACTGGTTGTGATGTCACAGTTATTAAGAAATTAGCTGTCAGTAACATCTTGTTGTATTTCTAAACATCAAAAATGTCTGTTTGTTGTACCCGGTGTGTGTCTGAGCCAGTAATGTGCCTTGTACCTGTGTATCCGAGGCGACAGAGGCACTGATAGTCATTGACCAGCTCAATGCAGTCGAGGCTGCCGGGGGTTTGGCAAGGCCCAGACAGACATTCGTTGAGATCCCCCTCACAGTGTTCACCAACAAATCCTGCAGGACAGGAGCACGTGTAACGACCCACACCGTCAATACACTGTCCTCCATTTCGGCATCGTGGCTCAGAGGACCCTGGGCTGGGGGCGCAGTCATCCTCATTCACCTCACACTGAACTCCTACAGAGCAAAGAATACACAGATATTGATGCAACTGAACCAATACATTATAAAAAAAAATTTTTGTTTCGTCTTTAGAGACATTTATGTTAGATTTTACAAAAAAATTAATTTGCAAGACCTATTGAAGCAGCAAATCCCATCTGAAAATGTAGCAGTGGTACTATTCCACTGTCACGTCTAAATAAGAGAAATTATGTCAACGCAGTTCGTCCTAGTCCTACATTTAAAGACCCTTTTTTAAATCAATGAAGATCTGATTTTATATTATTTACATTCCAGGTTTTGTTAAAAAGTCATCTAACACCCAAACATTTACCAGAAAACTTCATTTGTTCAATAAAAACATTTCTCAGCCATTAAAAAAACCTATTTATCGGGCTAAACCTTTGGTTGTATATATTTCTCAAGTTACCTCTTAGTTCTGCTGCTATAGGCTTAGACTGCTGGAGGACAAACTGACTACATTTCCTCACTCTGCTGCTGTCTTTACTTACTCTGCTCAAGCAAAGCAACTTGAGTAGTTTTTAACTAAATTTTTAACTTTAGTTTTCAACTTTTACCAATTGGCTTTTATAATGTCTATGAATGTTTTTGTGCAGTGCACTGAGATGACTTCTGTTGTGACTTGGTGCTATATAAATAAACTGAATTAAATATATTGATGTGACTCTCACTTTCAATCAGGCTCGATGATCTAAAGTACAAATATGTTGCATGAGCTCTTGATGGATTAAAACTTTATGCAGGCGTACCATGTGTTCCAGGTGGGCAGACACAAGTGAAGTGGTTGATGAGGTTAATGCATGTTCCTCCATTGAGGCAGGGCTTAGAGTGGCATTCATCAACATCATATTCACAGTTCACTCCTTGGTAACCCGCTTTACACTGGAGAAATTAAGCAAGAAATTGATTTTGAGTATTTGTCTGAAAATAAGACTTAAACATAAAACAGACCTAATTATTTATACACAAATCTGAAAAGGCACTTACTATGCACTCATATGTGCCCTGATAATCTTTGCATGTTGCTCCATTGCGACATGGATTTGAGCGGCACTCATCCACCATTTCCTCACAGTAGCTGCCTGTGTACCCCAGCTGGCACTGACACTGATGGGAATTCCCCTTGTTGATGCATCGTCCTGCGTTCTTACATACATTTTCAACAGCAAAACCTGCAGCAAATTGGAAAATAAGGCATTTTTGGTAACTTACAAATACTCATTTTAAGATTTTGCCTACATCATACATAGTACTTCAATAGTTAAATTTTATCACAAAGAAACCTGTTGTTATTTTCTATCAAACTGTCATTTTATGCTTCCCCCTTTTCTATAATGTGTCAATATTTTGCTAAAACAAGTTGTCCAATGACATATTCTCTCACCATTTCTGGCAGCAAAGTCTTGGCAGGACATGTTCGGGACATCACAGTAAAGTCCTGTCCATCCCATCTGACAATGACAGGTCCAAGAGGTGACCGTTTGAGAGCAGGAGCCACCATTTTTACACTTCACCTGGCTGCACAGATCCACGTAGTTCTGTATACAAAATAAGAAACAAAGTGTTGGCTGCAATTGTTACAGAACAGCTAAAGTCACAGTTTATTTTGAACAACGGCTTTTTTCAAACTCTATAAAAACCGATCCACACTGCTGGACCTGCAAAAAAAATATGAGCTGATTCACCAACCTAACAAAAAACAATAATATATGTTGTAGCATGCAACAACCATAACCGTGATATTTCAAAAGGGAAAAAATACTTTATTTTAAAGAAAAAAGAAATGAAGAAAATATTTGCCATCATTAATAAGTTAAAACACTGCATACATAGCTATTGGGTAAATCAACTGTTAGAATATACTGTTTTTTTTACTTTTATCTCCTAATAGTACCGTATTTTTCGGACTATAAGGCGCAACAGATTTTTTTTCATTCAACCTTTATTTATACATTATAAGGCACAATATCAATGAACGTGTCTGTTTTCATACATAAGGCGCATTAAGCGAAACAAGTTCATTTTGACATATTTTTGAGCGCTGTGTACCACATAAAATTGGTTCAAGGTCAGTAAGCACAACCAGAATTAATACATAAGGTGCACTGGTTTATTAGGCTCACTATCAATTTTTGAGAAAATCAAAGGATTTAAATGTGCCTTAATAGTCCAAAAAATATGGTAATTCATTGCAGACCCATAAGAGCGCTACGCATTTACAGTGACATGCAAACAATTTACCTGACAGTTCTTTCCACTAAATCCCACAGGACAGGTGCAGCGGTAAGTACCCAGACCGTCCGTGCAGGTGCCTCCATTCTTACAGGGCTGAGAGTCACACTCGTTATGTTCGTACTCACAGAAATCCCCGTAAAAACCATGGCGGCAATTGCAGGAGAAGGAGTTAACGTTATCAACGCAAGTCCCATTATTGAGACAGGAACTGAAGAGAAACAGAACAAGACAGTAATTTTTTTTTTTTAATTAAATGTTTTTTTTTTATTTTAAAATTTAAACCTGAAATACTATGTGCTAATTCCTACTTGGCTCACACCTAAAAATAAAAAAAATGTTAATTTAATTCTACTATTTATTACACAATCATAAGATTTACAGCAGTATCTTAAAAGTATTAACTGCACAAGATGTTAAGAATACAGTAAATCAAGAAGTTTTGTGGCTCACCTTTCAGTGCACTCAAGGATGTTGTGTTCACACTGGATTCCATTAAAGCCTGGCTGGCACAAACACACAAAGCTGTTGACGTAATCTCGGCAGATTCCCCTGTTCCTGCAGGGTTGACTGGCGCACTCATCTACCTCGGCCTCACAGCGCACCCCTTCGAAACCCGGCCTACAGTCGCAGGAGAAACTTGCCACTCGGTCCACGCACAAGCCTCCATTCAGGCAAGGGTCTAAAACGGGTAGAAGAAGGGAAAAAGAGGTGTTTCATAACTGCTGATTATATTTATTTGTTTGTTTGATCACATACAGTCTTATAATTCATCATCTGTCTATGCTGCTTGGGGAAGACAGAATATTTTAAATCTCTAATCATGCATCAAACATTATAACAAACCATATAAACACACAGAACCAGGGGAAAGGGGCCAAGCAATAGGTTAATAAATAAAAATTAGATGACTAAAGATTAGGTCAAACTCACTTGGCGAGCAGTCATCTACATCTGTCTGACAGTTGTGTCCACTGTACCCATGTTGACATTTACACATGAAGCTCCCTTGAGTGTTCTTGCAGAGGCCACCATTTTTGCAAGGAGTCTTGATGCATTCATTTACATCCTCATTGCAGCGTGCACCTTTTGTGAATAAATTAACTTTGTTAGAAAATAAATTAATTAATCTGAGCTATATACGATAATAAATATCTCACACACTGACCTTGCCAACCAGCCGGACATCGGCAGGTGTAAGAGGTGTAATCTGCAGATGGAAGACAAACTCCTCCCTTCTCACATGGATGAGAGGCACAAGGATCCTGCTCTATCTCACAGTGTTTACCTATTTTGACACAAAATTTTAAGTAATCAATAAATTCCCTATTAAATTAAACTTTTGACATATATCTCTTCACTTGCGTGACATTCTGGTGTGATGAGGATGGCTCGTATTAACACGATCTGAAGGAAATGTAACATCACTAACCTGTGAATGGTGGGCTACAATGGCAGGTGTAACTATTGATCCCATCTCCACAAACACCGTGGTTCATGCACGGCCCAGATGCACATTCATCTATGTTTATTTCACAGTTGACACCTAGCAAGAGAAAAGTGATTATTCAGACGTCAAATCTTCCAGCTCTATGTTTGGGGCAGTGGGTATATGTTTTTTTTTTAAATAAATAACAATCACAGTACAGATTGTACAATGCAACATTTATGTTACAAGCAATATGGAAGTCAGCCCGACCAACAAGCAACTCTCTGTTCATCAGTGAGAATAAAAATGATCAGGTGTCATGGAAGTATAGCTCAAAAATAATGTGTTGGATCTATTTATAGCCACAGTTTTACCTCTGAAACCTGGTTTGCATTCACAGGTGTAACCGTTGTGTCGGTCCACACAGGCACCACCATTCAGGCATGGGTTTAGTTGGCACTCATCTTTTTCTTGCTCACAGTGTTGTCCCACCCAACCAGCTTCACACTCACAATGGTACCTTGATGGAAAGGAAATAAAAGCAAATATCCAAAGTGTAAAATTAGTCGGATCTATTAAAGGCAGGTTCTTGAGCTCTACTATCAGTTTGTGCACCTAAAGAATTATTTTCCAAACATTTAAAGTTTGATGCTAGTTTAACATTTTAGAGTGGCCAATTTAAAAAGTTGTGCAAGTTTTGAAGAAAACATATAAACCTCGACATGTGACTGAGTTACAGACAGGAAAAATGAGTTGACGTAAGAGCAAAGGCTTGTTTGTACTTGTTTAAACTCTCCATTTTTTTCTACTTGCTTCTCCTTTCTTGGTCACAGAGAGTTGGTGCCTATCTCCAGCTGTCACTGTGCGAGAGACAGGGGACACCCTGGACAAGTCTCAAGTCCACCACAATGACACATAGATAAAAATGACACAAACAACCATTTACACTCTCATTTACACCTAGGGACAATTTAGAGTTACCAGTTAGCCTAACATGCTTATTTTTGGTCTGTGAGAGGAAACTGGAGTCCACGCAGTAAGACCCCAGGTGGGGTGGCAATGCTGCAACCTTCTTGCTGTTAGGTGACAGCTCTAACCACTGCTCCACCATAAAATTCTTACTACTGATATCATTCCAGTGTATATCAGTCCACATTCATGCATAAGCATCTCCACCAATAGTCATGCTTACCCATGCTGCTGGTCAATACATTCTCCATGCACACAGGGATGAGAGGCACAGTGATCGATACCAGACAGGCACAGCGGGCCGTGTGTGCTGGGCGGACACAGGCAGTGGAAACCATTCACGTTGTCAAGGCACCTTCCTCCACTCATGCATGGGTTTGAATCACACTCGTTGATGTCCACCTCACATTTGTCTCCTGTTAGAAAAATACATCAAATCTGATGAGTGCTATAAAAGACTCAACCGTTTGTATACATTTCAATATCTGTTGGTCTCAATATTACTGATTCTACTGAGGTACCGAGCAAAAACATACCTGCGTATCCAGGGGAGCACAAACATTTGTACTCATTGATGCCATCCTGGCACTCTCCATGCTCACAAGGGTTGCTGGCACAGTCGTTCTCATTAATCTCACAATTCACACCTAAGAAGAAAAAATACAGATAAAGCTACATAAAAAACAAACAAAAATATTTTCCCACATTGTAAACTGTTTAAATATTATGTTGATTTCTAACAAATTATGTGGGTAAAGAGGCAGGGCTGAATTAAATCTTAAAATATGAAAAACTTAATTCATTCACCACCAGGGGGAGTGGGACTCCACGTTAAAGAACTTAATTGAGAGGTTATGAAATAAGAACAAAAACTGGGAGAGACTTTTAGCTCAGCACAGGAATGCTACACAATACATCAGTAATTATTAGAACAATAGTTAAAGATGAATTGAAGAAGAGGGAAAAGAATTAGGGTGCAGCAGGAGAAGGTAAGGGAAGTGGAGCATGAAACCTGACAGGGTGATTTGGTCTCAGGTTTAGTCGAGTGAGCACAGGACAGACGTCACAACAGGCTTGATGGCAGTATCATGAGTTTGTTCCACTTTTTCCAGGCTGGTGACTTCTATACAGAGTCAGAGCTCTAGACCTTATAGCACTTTCAAAAGCTTAAAATGAGCTCTTGAAATCTTGGGGCCCTGTTCTCAGGGTACTTTTTACATATGGACTTTATAGATCCCATTCATACGTACTTAGGATAAACAGGGATACGCCACAAAGCAAATGGGAGCTATAACCAACGCTGTCTTTTTTGTGTCAGGCGAATGAGAACCGACAACTTTTTCGAGGAATACATCAATTACAGCTACCATTAAAGCAGATGTATCCAATCCTGGTCCTCGAAGGCCACTATCCTGCACTTTTCTTGTTTCCCTGCTCCACCACACCTGATTCAATTGCTGAATTACTTCTTTATGTTCTGCAAAAAACTGTTTTTCACCCATTGATTCAAACCAAGTGTGTTGGAGCAAAGAGACATCTAAAACATGGAGGATAGTGACCCTCAAAGAGCAGGACTACATTAAAGGCACTCTCACCTGTGTTACTGGTGCTTTGGGGTAACTTATCACAGTTTTAATTCTCATTTTTTTCTTAAGTAAAGACACTATGAGTAAAAATAATGAGTTAAGATGAGCACAATTGTACGTATAATTTCTGACACACATTTTCTTTCAGGAATAAACATCTCACTACACAGCCTTTTTTTTAAATTGCTTCAAAGGGCATCAAGCACTTACCTGAGGTTCCTGGTAGACAGACGCACTGGTAGGCATTAACCCGGTCAATGCAGCGACCTCGGTTCTGACAAGGGTTGCTGTGGCATTCCTGAATCTGGATGTTACAGATGGAGCCTGTGTATCCAGGATTACACTCACAGGAGTAGGTGGCAATGCCATCCTTACACACGCCATGGTGGCATGGTGGTGGTTTGCAGTCATCAATGTTCTCTTCACAGAGGCGACCAGTAAAACCTTGGGAGGACATTTCTCATTATGGTAAATACTGGAGGTATTCCAATGTAGAAAAAGTAATAATTCAAATGCATGATATGATTTTTCTTCACCTTCAGCACATTCACAATCATATCCATTGGGTCGGTCGATACATTTGGCTCCATTTAAGCAGGGCGTGCTGGAACACTCATCTATATCTATTTGGCAAGTTTCACCGCTGAAACCTAAACACATCACATAGGAATGTACCGATGAGACATTTTAGACAAAAGGCCATAAACCAGGTTTTCTCAGATCAGTCTGTGAAGAAGGTAAACATAAAGTTACATATACCAACCTGCTGGGCACTCGCAAACAAAACGGCTGACCTGGTCAACACATTTACCCTGATTGAGGCAGGGGGAGCTCATACATTCATTCACTTCTATCTCACAGTGAGTTCCTTCAAATCCTACAAGAATGTAAAGGAAAGAGAATTTCAAGTAGCTTGGCATAAAATAAATCCATAAATAAAATAAAAAACAAGTAATGTGACACACATGACATCAGAGCTAATTGCTTTTAATTGCTCTGGTAAGATTCAAGTGTTATTAGAAAAAATAAACCTAAGGATCGTAAAGTCCTAGCAAATTTATGGCTGCTTTATTAACAAAAATAAAATTTGTTTTTAGTTGTTATCCATTGCATCATTTTCTTCCTGTAAAAATCAAACACATTCACCCACACAAAGACTTACAATTTCAAAATATGTGCTTACCAGGCATGCAAATACAGGTGTACTCCCCAATGCGATCCAGACATGTGCCATCATTCTGGCACGGACTTGAAGCACATTCATTGACATCCTGTTCACATCGAGGTCCAGCATAACCCCTGACACAGTTACAGGTGAAGGAGCCGTCGGTGTTCACACACTGACCACCATGCTCACACGGGTTGGGCCCTGATCATGAAAGGTAAGAAGGCATTTAAAAGACCAAAACAGAGCCGAGGAGCCATGAAGAAAAACGTTAACATTTAGGATTCTGTCTCACCAATACTGCATTCATCTCTGTCAATGTTGCAGGTGCTTCCTACGTATCCAGGTGGACAGTTACAGTTGAACATCCCGGTGACGGGGTTGGTGTCACAATGTGAGCCCTCTCTACATGGGTTACTAATACAAGCATCATCTCTGTGGCACAACAAACCTGAGAAAAACACCATGATGAAACTAGTAAAAAATATGGTCTTCAGCTAGTAAAAATTTATTTTAACAACAACAAAAAGATCCTACTGCGTTAAAACATGCCTGAACTCCCCCAAAGAACATTCACTGCAGGATTATGCACAGAAACATAATGCAAATTTGTTACTAAGAAAAAAATTAATTTAAGGCGAAGCTTGATCCAAATCAAAAACTGAGTCACTGATCAGATGGCTTCAAATGCTAATAAATTTTGAAATGCATTTATTTACCTGACTTTAATGCTGCCACCTTCACATAAAAAATAAACCATTAATAACAATATTTCTGGTAAAACTAGTTTTAGCCTCAGTTGTTTTAATACTCTTTAACAAAGCTAAAATGTGAACATAAACTGAAGTGACGGAATAATCTTTTTTTATTTTGTTTGAGGTTTGTTTGTTTTGTTTTTTTTCCTCCCAAAATGAAAAGTTGATCAGATCATTTTTGTTATTTGGAGTTCATCTCTATGATTTTTATAGATATTGTGTGTTAAAAAGCATGTGTTTGGCTTATAGCTGCCTGCCCACCTGTTTTCCCAAAGGGGCAGAGGCAGATAAAAGATGCGACACGGTCAATGCAAGTGGAGCCTGGGCTGCATGCGGCAGTAGCACAGTCATCAATGTTTTCAGAGCAGTCGGGTCCACTCCACCCATTAACACAAACGCAGACGTAGCTGCCTATCTGGTTGCCGCATGTGCCGCCATTCTGACAAGTATTTGGCTGCAGCCGACACTCGTCCACATCCTCTGTACAGTGCTGACCTGAGGATGAGAGAAAACAATGAAGACAAGGAAGACTTAAGCTAATGCTTTAGGTACTAGGTTACAGCATCAAGTGAGGTAACCCAAGTTTTGGTGAAAAGGAAAAACACTGACCCACTTTTTAACATATTAAAGGATCCTTTGGCAAAAATAGAAAATAGTGTTAAAAAGTATAATATTTTACAAGTGAGCAAGTTTAAAAACATATTTTCAGCATCATGCTGGTTGTGTTTCCAGCAGGTGAATTAGTACTGCACAAACTAAAAGAGGCGTAAGAAAGCTACCGGTAATTTATGCATGTTTACTTTGTAAACAAAAGAAGAGACACACCTTATGTGAAGTATGAGCTTCAGAGGTGCAAAGAAAAAGTTGCAAGAGTATATGGAATATCAGTGCATGCAAAAAAAAATGCTACCGTTGTATGTTGTTTGTACAGTTGAGCCATGCAAATAAATAAAAGACAATTATTCCAAAATAAAACACTGTAATGCTCTGTTTAAACATACTTCAGGATAACTTTTGACTAGTGTTTTTCAACTGCAGTAAAAAGCCATGACACGTGACAATGATGCTTCACAAGCTGTGCCAGGGTCAAATTAATACAGACCAAGACAAAATCACAAGCAGACTTCACTCACCGGTCCACTCAGGAGGACACTGACAGTTGTAGGTATTAACTCCATCTATGCAGGTTCCTCCATTAGCACAGTGATGACCAGGACAGTCATCAATGTTGTTCTCACAGTTAGTTCCATTGAAGCCTAGCATTGACAAAAGGAGAAACAGAATTTTATTGTTTTTATTGGATTAATCATGTTTACATTGGGGAAGATGGATAATATTGTGCATTTGCTTAAAAATATAGTATTAGGACGTATCCTGCTACAATATAAACAACAGCTGTCTGTGTGTCTTGTGTCTACCTGTAGCAGACTGATGTGTTTAATACAGCTCAGCTAGCAATTTTAAACTGTTTGCACCTCAAACACTGTAATGCTACAATTCAAAACCTCAAAAGCTACTTTCATTTATACATAAATACCAGCAAGATACTCACTATTTTTGTATTTAGTTTACTTCCTTCCCCTATGTCTACAGCTTAATGGGTTGAGTGGTGGCAGGTTCACTTTTTAACGTGTAAATACTGTAATAAAGTTTTTAGTATTCGAGTTGAAGCCAGTTCATTGCTGCATTAAATCTTCCTACCTGGAAGACAGTGGCATGAGTAGGTGGTTTCAGAGCTCTGGTGGCAGGTGCCTCCGTTTAGACACGGCGAAGGTGAGCAAGGGATGTATGAGCTTTCACAATGTTTACCCGTAAACCCTGGTTTACAGGTGCACCTGTAGCAAAAGTAGAGACCATGTCATTAAATTAACTCTTTTGGTCCTCACAGAAAACATCTGCCATTAGTCTTTAAAAAAATATGTAAAGCAGCAATGTTGTTCACATTTGATCCATATATACGCACCTGTAGGAGCCAGGGGTGTTAACACACACGCCTTCATTCTGACATGGGGAGGGTGTGTCTGCACATTCATCTGTGTCATTAAGGCAGCGAGGACCTTTGTAGCCAGGAGAACAGAAACAGGTGTAGCTACCACCAGGCTGAGAGCTGCACCTTCCTCCATTGGCACAGGGACTGGAGAGACAAGTGTCCTCAAACTCACAGCGTGGACCTGGAAATGAAAAAGAGAAAAAAACTCAAACAAAACTGTGACATTTAAGGGAAAATGACAATGTTTCAATTCTATTATTTAAATGTCAAAGACAGGGAACTTATTTCCTGTAGTTCTTGTTTTTGTGTCTTAGAATTGCATGATTTAATATGCAAAAGTTTAAATAAAATACTTTGTATTTGCAAACAATCACAGAGACATCCTGGATTACAGAAGTGTTTAATGCATTTGCATTTAAGATGAGTCAAGTTTTCTTAGTTCATATCTTAGATCTTATTACTGTTTTTCTTTTACAATTTATACTTTTGTTGGATGTAACTGGGACCCTGTGTACACAACAATTTTGTTCCAGCTCATGTACCACATGTGATGCAAATGACAATAAAGAACCTTGAATCCTTGAATCAAATGCATCATGAGTTATAAAGTGATTATTAAAAGCTACTACAAAATAATATCTCACCTGTCCATCCCCTGGTGCACTCACACCTGTACTTGTCGAGGGACAGGAGCGTGCAGACACCTTTGTTGGCGCAGGGGTTGTTTGGGTAACATGTGGAGTTCAGGGGGGTTTGACAATGTTGTCCAGTGTAGCCAAGAGGGCAGGTGCAGGTAGCACTACCAGGTAGAGGTACACCAGCTGACATAGACACAAAGCACTTCCCTCCATTTAGGCAGTAACCGGGCTGACAAGGGTCTTTATGTTGGCAGTATTCGCCCAAAAAGCCTGGAGCGCACCTGTGCACATAAAAACTTGAAAAATCAGTCATCAAACAGACCAAACCAGTAAAAATTTATACCTAACCAGACCTTAACGCAGACAATACAACAGAAAAAACGAAATGAACAAGGAGACAAGTATGAGGTTTAAAGAGATGCAAACAGACTAAACAAAAGAGCAAGTTTCACTTAGGTGGATGCAACGCACCACATCAGACAACCACTGAGGGCTGAGAGTAGCAACTGCAAAAAGATTTTGTGCTAAACACACATAAAAACTGATGAACCAGCACAAGTACACACAACAGTCTAAGGAGTATCTTTGCTACTATAAAGTGACCTAAAGAACAGCGTGAGGGGAACCACATTTCTGTAGGACAAAATTACATTAACAAAATGTGTGGTTGTACTTAAAGAGAAAGGGATGGTTGTCTTGAAGATTAAATGTGTATTGAATTTTGTTAATTTAGAGCCTGTACTGTAAAGCTGATGCAATGTTGTCTATAGTAATAGATCTCAAGGCCACACCTACACAAAACAGCAGGTTGTTTAAACAGAACTGGGAATATTTTTATAATGAAACATGCTGCTTTGACACAATATTTTCCCTGGTGTCCAAACGGAGTTTGAGAACCAATTAGATTGACTTTTCTTGTTGTTGTGTGTTGTATTTTAATCTTAACTTTCTTGTGTTTCCTTAGTGTCACAAGATGTATTTTGTTTTTATTGTTTTCATTTTAATTTGACTAAATTGTAAAGTACTTTGGTCAGCGTTTCTTGTTTTTATGTGCCATGTAAATAAACTTGACAATGAATGACACTGGTAGAAGGATCAAACAGAAATAGACCCAAAAAACGCCTCAATGACAAAAGGAAGTGCTGTGAACCCAGAGCTGTTGCCCCGTGAATCCTCTTAAGAGAAAAAGCAGGAGCTCTGTTGACGGGTCAAACTGGGGTCATGGTGACAAGCAGAAGCTGAAAAGCAGAAGGATGTGAAGTAATGTTATCTAAAAGTTGTTGAGTTGTGCCAGGCAGAAACTAAAAACTAATGAAAAACACCTATAATACCTCTACAAACATTAGGCATCTTGACATGTAAAACATGAGTTTGGTGGGGAAATTCCCCACTTAATGTTTTATTAATAACATATGGTTCACTAATTCTGTGTGCATACGTTTCCTCTGCTTATTCATCACCTCTATTCTTTCAATTTCTGTATTTCAGTAAAGAGATTGAGTCACGTGGAGACAGCGGGTCAAAATTTATATCATTGCACAATGTGTGCACCAGGGATCTTATAAGGGACAATGTTCCCTTTGTGACTTTCTATTCCTCTGTTTTTTTACAGTCCCTCCTACTTTCACTCATCACTTCTCCATGTGTGAGTGTTTGGTCAGAGTTGGTTTTTTATCACATCGTCAAAATGTCTTTAGAAAGGCACATTTCTATGCATGGGTAATATTTGATACATGCACTTTGTGTGTCTCTCTGTGGCACATGGCAGACATGCTGTCTGGGGACTGTGGGCGACAGAGCGGCCTGCTGCCTCTTTCGGAGGCCTCTAAACCTCCCTCCCTAGAGGAGCTCAAGTAACACAATAGGAAGCAGAGATACACCCCACAGTAACTAACACACATACTCTGGCACATCATTATTGCTTTATTTTCAAAGAATCTAAAATAAAAATGTAAATAATTCCCTAATAAGCTGGTCTGTAGCAGGTTAAAACATAAAGCAGTGCTGCAACATTTAAGTTAAACTAAGCAGATGAGAATTGTTTGAGTTCCTTCTCACACTTACTTATATTTATAACAGGCCACTCCGCCCCGAAGCAGCTTGAAAGTATTAGGTTGTAAGTGCATGGGAAAGAAGAGGAGTCATGAATCATGTCCAACCAAGTCCCCCTGATTGAACATATTTTGAAAAAAAAAAAAAAAAGTCTGCCTGGTATGTGTGAATCACCAAATATTTTCTCAAAAACAAGGCAACAAAAACTTCTGACAGCAAATTCAAACTCTGATGCAACTGCTCCAAAAATGCTTTGTATAAGTTGGACAGATCCAGAATAAACACATTAAGCAAAATGCTAATTAGTTGTATTGTTTTGTTTTATTCAGAATGGGTGTAAAGATTAGAATAGCTGAAATCCTCTGCAGCTGTATGACAAAGATACATTCTTAAAAACTAAAATAGCAAAATCTAAGTTTTACTGTATGCTAGCTTCGGACAGTTAGCCAAGTTGCTGCAAACATTCAACTCTGTCTACTCTAATATTGTTGTTTTATTGTGTATTTTAATATTGTCATTGTAAAGTCTTTGATACAGGTACATAAATTAGTGGTCCTAAATTTAGCAATTAATACATTCTGAATTACGTTCACTCCTTTTCCTTTTGTTCCTGAGCTATGACGTTAAATGATGGCCATCAAGCTTTTTCATGTATTTATTTATTTTTTAGAAATATGGTAAAATAAAATTAATATTATTTGTGACTTTTTTTATCATACCACAATACTACAATACTATAATTTAGAATTTGTCATTTACAAATCTATTTTTGAGTCTCAGCAGCTGTATTTATACTTTTTTTTGTTTTAAAAAAAATCAAACTTACATAAACAAAGTGATGAAGTCAGTAAACAGACAAACAAAATGATGAATGTGTGACATGCAATCTTCTAACAGAAGACGGGCTCTGTCCCTGCAGCACGTCTGCAGTGCAACTCCCTACAAATCCCAACACACACGCCCATACAAAAACACACAAACAAAAGGACAGTCCTGCCCACTCGGACTGCCCGCTGCAAACACAAACACAGCTTGGACACGATAGCACAACAAAACGGTCGTCCCGGTAATTAAGTCGGCTCTTTTTTCTCTCGGGCAGCCTGAACCTCCCCTTTCATCCCAGAGTAATCACATGGTCTTTTACTCTCTCTGCAACATATATCACATTAGCAGGCTGTCACACAAAGACTACCGTGTCCAGGTTAATGCAAGGTTTATGTTTCACAAGGAACTTTCTACACCTTTCACAGCAAAAATACGGGAAACACAAGCCAAATCTTCAAAGTTGAGAAATTCAAAACTAACTTAGATGCTGTAACGCTTACTTTTTTTTTTTTTTTTTTAAGTTCATGTGTTTACATGTTAATTATCACTGTTTTCACATGGACACAAAGTTTCTTAATTTCTATAACACCTGTTGTTAGGGTCTCTTTGAACCAAACACCACCTGTGAGAAATTATTTGCTTCCCAGGGATTTAGCGAATATTTGAGAGCGTTGACAGAAAAGATGCATAGCATGCTCTATTAAACTCAATCGCCGCTATCTAACCAGTGTTGACAGAACCAAATGTAGTGGCGTCAGGAAGCGATACCCTGTCCTTCAGGTTTCAGTGCCAGATAGAGAGCTCATTATTAGCCCTTGGCTGTATCACTGCAGCCTGAGGCAAAAGACAAGGCTGTGCATGATTCACATTATTGTCAAGGAGTGGTGTCTCACAGAGGAAGCTCTAACCAAATACACCGGCACACTAATCTGTGACTAAAAACAACACAGGCACCAGAGTGATTCTTCTGACAAATTTCCAAGTGCACAACACCAAAGGCAAAAGTTGCACACAAATTCATGCAGAGAAACCTTTACGTACAGTCAGCGCTATACTTTTATGAACACAGCAGAGGATTTAGCTGCCAGATTCATCTATGGGTTTCTTTGTTTCGCTCCATGAGGACTTTTTTCCCTCCTCTTTTCCCCATCGTTCTTTTACTGTGTGCTGTTTCCTGCGGCCTCTGTTTTTCCTTTACTTTCTCACTCCTCCACCTCTCGTTTCTAACCCACTCTTGAGGTGTCGAGTTTCCACAGCTGGTTCAGATTAGCACCCCCATCTCATGCACACCCCCTCCTCACTCTCTCTATACTCTTTCATTTTCTTCATCCACCTCCTCTACCTCACAATGACCTATGCCTATCCAAGCTTGATGTGGGGGGTTTCAGTGAGTAGGGACTGCGTTGATTAAAAATAGCTTGTCTTTTGTCTCCAAGCTCCTTTAGTCTTAATTTCTCTGTCCCAAGATTTGCGAAAATTCGATTCAACTTATTTTTGTGGTAAGTTTTTCTCTCTACATCATCTTCAACTACAATACAACCATTTCCTCCTAGTACAGCTGCTATCATGCTCTACCCCTGCAGCCATAGTGTAAACAAGAAGGGGAGCATAAACCAGCTCACTTTTCAACCCCTGGATTATTCCCTGACTTTGCCAGAGCACAAGTGGCCTTAATGCTGTTTGCATGCATGAAAGCTGCCATTTGCACAATTATATAAAACACATAATTAAGAAAAGTTATATTTACACAACTGAACTGCAGTTGAGGGTTGTCAGAAATCATTAATTTCCAGCACCAACTTGACACAATAAATGTACAAAATTACATTAAATTTCCTTGCAATAACACGCTTCAGCAGTGCAAAAGGTCTAAACTTGAGTGGCTGCAGCATAAAACACAATTTTATATGCAATTAAAGCATTAATGCACAATAAAATGGAAAAATAAAATGCACATTCACTTACAAGATCAAGTTCAATTATAATTTAGTGACATACTATTTTATCTCTATAATTTCCCTTTTTTTAAGTCAAATTAGGAGGGAGCAAAAATAACACCATGGATTTAGGCACAAAAAAAGTGTTAAACTGAGTAAATGAGGAAAAGAAGATCAAGTGACAAGGGTGCATTGTGGTGGAAGTTAAAGCCAAAAAAAGTAATGAGAGAGCGAGACATAGCAGAAAGAGAAGGAAGCCAGGCAGTCGGACTGAAATCATCAGTGTTGACCGAAAAAAGTCAGAAAAGAGTGCAGAGCAGGGTGGAGTCCACACTAGCATCAAGTGGTAAAATCACAGGCCATGTTTAGAAGCTAAATTCAAAAAGACTCATCTGAGCTGCTGTGGTACGCAGCACAAGATCCATTCAGCCTCAAAATGCTCCTTCTGTCTGTTTCTCTATGTTGCT